TGCAACCTTACATCAGTTAACTGCACAGAACTGCTTAGTAAAAAACAGCTTGGTTGGAGATGTAGCTACTTACCGGTTGTAAATATAACAAGTTGGTTGTTTATTGAGCATTGACTTGACCTTGACTTGTAATTGGCTTGTTGAACCTCGAAAGTTGTATACATCCTTAAATCAGTAATTTCATGACAGTTTTTTTCTGAAATATTAACTTGCAAAATGTTAGTTTCAGGTCTATAGTTGATAAATAAGATGAATAAACCATGTACAGTCAATATCTGATGGCTAGACCTATAGCTGGATTACCACTTTAACCAGAAAGACTAAAGGTTCAAAAGCAATCAATTCTGATAATTAATGTATGAATATTTCTAAGATAAGTGTATGTAGAACATTAATGTCTAAGACCACCCTTGATTATTTTTTTAGAATTGGCAGGTTCTTGGTAAATTAAAGCAAAAATATAATGCTATAGGACTTTAACTCATAAATGAAAGCATCTTCGTACCAACAAATGTCAGTACTTTGCACTTATTTTGCATACTTTGGGATATATTATCTGAATAATGCATTTTTAAAGGACGGGGTCATCGCTAACATAGTTTTTCATACACGAAGCCTAGAACTTCTCATATTAACAGCGCCCAGAAGACGAGGGAAGATTAGTCTATGGCTTTGAGTCTAACATTTTCCTCCAAAGTTGTATAGTTAATGAGGATATTCACTTTTGCAGTAGCCGAACAGCAGGAGATAGGGCAGGCTTGTTGATACTAGAAAGCAGTTTGATACCAGCGAAGGAGATAGAGTCCAAAGACTATTTGTACCATAAACACTACAGTGCACTGTAGTGCTTAGGGGGCCCTTTAAGGTAGACATTTACATAACAAACTAAGATTTTTTATTATTATTAATATAATGATAAATATGTATGAACAGAGTAGCTCTTTGTAAAATATGAATTAGTTTGTAAATTGAAAATTAGTTAGTGAGCAAATTGCCGTTTTAGTTTTTTTTTTTTAATCTTGATTTCATGGTTATAAATAAAATGAGCAGGATCAAAAAAAAAAAAAAACAAGAAAAGGAAGAGTATAATGCAAAAAGGACTGTAAAATAACTTGTATCCAGTGGAGCTTGAAAGCATTGCAGAAGCCAAGCAGGCTAAGTAAACACATGGTAGGCTCATAAGTCAACACATTGAGAGAAAATATGCGCCAGTTATAGGTCATAGAACAGTCATGTGTGCAGAAAAAAAGCAATTATGTAGAAAAAAATCTTTTAGACAATACAATTTATGAATGTATTCATGAGAAACGCAGCATTTACAGAATGCACTGCAAGATTAAATAATTGAATGTTTTCTTATAATATGTTTGTAGTTATGTTACTATGTTTATTAACTAACCTTTGAAATACATTACTCCAGGCTCTGTTTATTATATTGAAATCTTACATATTTACACCAATCTGTTTGCATGCCTTTCTGTCCATCAACCTGTCTGTCCGCCCATCTGTCCTTCTTTCTCTGTCTGTCTACACATTCTCATGCAAACCTCTGTTAAATAATTGCCCAATTCTCTTTTAGGATGTGAAATTAAGCAATACATTTAAATAAAAGGTAAAACAATATGTATACCTAACATAAAAAGGCCTTGATTTTTTATACGCTTTCTATATGATTCAATACTTTTAGAAAGAATTTCAAGTGATTTATCTAAAGAAGTCACCATTAAAGTCTATGAAAAGTATTGAACCGCTTGCAAAGCTTTTTAAATTGAGGCCAAAGTGAGATGTAACAGAAATTTTATATATAGCTTACCATTACCTTAAGGGGTAACTTAAAATGTAAATTTAAAGGACTTTGCTTTTTTTTGTTCTTTCATCCTATGTTGTTTTAAAAAGTACTTAAAATGTTGGGACATTGTTCATCTTGCAGTGCTTCTAACATCTTCAGAAAAATAGCAATAAAGAAAACGTAGCAATATCAGACAGTAGGTATACATGATATATTAAAACAAAACTTGAGAAATATCTTGCTGATGGTTGCTTGTAAGAAATTTGTTGTTTCTATTCAGAAAGTTAATTCTTAAAAATCTATCAACATGTAAAAATCGTTACACTGGTATAGGTCCCATATGTAGTGAATATTGGTGTCTGGCAAAAATCAGGTATTAATAGCTTATGGAGAAGAGTGGGAGATTATTTTCATCCAGTCTCGATTCCTTCAAAAAAACATTGAAAACTCACTTCTTCAGAAAAGCGTATCAATTAAACTGTTAATAGCTTAAGCTTTTCGGTTTTGTCCTCTTGAGCTCTACCTCAAGAAAGTCACAAGGACAAAACCAGTCGGTATGTATGATCAATGTGTGACTTTTTTCCCAGTCTGTTTCCATATCCACATCAGAATCCAGTTCTCTACTATTAAGATACCACAAAGGATCACTGTACAAAGTGGACCATCGAACACACCAGCTGACTACTTATTGGAGGTCTTTTTAGACCTAACTACATGCCTTTTTAGCCACATTTGTGGCTCTTTACTTGTGAGTGCAATATATCCCTTTTTTTTTTTACTTTTATGTACGGTTTTACACTATGTTGTGTTGTGTTTTTTTTATTGTTTTAAGTAAGATTGGAAATCTTAAACTATACATGTATCATAACATATGTGGACCACAAGTTACCAATACTGAAAATATCCTAAGGTATTAGCACCTATCTTTATCTCTATTATTTTTATGTTCACGTTCTTCATATACACACAACACCAACTTTTTGAATAATTAATTTCAACGTGAACTGCGATGCATCTGAATTTGGGGCTATCAAGTGTTTAGTCAAATTTTCAAACTCTGAGCCAAAGTGTACCCAAATCAAAAAACAATCAAAACACACAATGGCGAACATGTCCATTTCATTTCGTGATTCAGAATTCCACCCATGACACCAAAAAAGGGATAATTGATGGAAAAAAGCTGATTCATGGCAATGGGCCAGGTGTGGGGCAGTGGCCATGGCAATACCAGGGCACTCTGGGCAGAGGTGGTGCCCCTCCATGCATCTCATCCCCCCCAGCCCCTCCATGTGTGTCATCCTCTCCCTGCCAGCCCCTCCATGTGTGTCATTTCTCCCCCCAGCCCATCTATGTGTGTCATTCTCTTCCCACTACTGTAAAGTAAGTAATGTCTGCTTCTGTGTGTGCACAGGATGCATTGTGTGTTTCTGTGTGTGTGAAGGATGCACTGTGTGTTTCTGTATGTGTAAGGATGCATTGTGTGTGTGTGTGTGTGTGTGTAAGGTATGCATATTGTGTGTGTGTGTGCACGCATGTGTGTAGGGATGCATTGTGTGTTTCTGTGTGTGTGTTAGAATGCATTGTGTGTATGTATGTAGGGATGCATTGTATGTGTGTGTAGGGATGCAGTGTGTGTGTGTGTGTGTGTGTGTGTGTGTGTAGGGATGCAGTGTGTGTGTGTGTAGGGATTTATTGTGTGTGTGTGTGTGTGTGTGTGTGTGCCTGCTTTTCATAGACTTTAATGGTGACTTCTGTAGATAAATCACTTGAAATTCTTTCTAACAGTATTATGTATGGATGCATTGTGTATGTATGTACAGTGTATGTATGGATGCATTGTGTGTATGTAGGGATGCATTGTGTGTGAGAGAGAGAATGTTTGCTGGGTAGGATAGGTGCCAAATTTCTTGCAGGGTCTTTTATATTTATTTTGTTAATTTCATTTTTTAAATTAAATTACCCCCTCCCTGTCTCTTACCAGTATCTAGGGAGGGGGCAGCATATTCCCTGGTGGTCCAATGGTACTGTAGAGGCTCTCTGCTTTCACCTCTGCCGAGTGAAGGCTTTTCTTGCGAGTCTTGGCACCATGTGGAATCGAGCATTGACGTGGTTACTGTGGCAGCTGTCTGAAAGCCAGGACTTGGACAGCCACGGAGATGAAGGCAGAGAGCCTCCTCCCCTTCCTGCTGCGTAGCTCTACCAAGACCCAGGGAGGGAGATCAAAAGATCTTCCTGACCGGGTCTACTTGCATGTAAGGGACCTGGGCTCGCAGGTCCCTCAGGTTGCCTGGGCCCTTACAAGTGAAAGGGTTCTACCCCATGATGGAAGCCCTGGTCCAGTGGTCCACGATCACAGGGGTCACACCTGCGGCTGGGCCCCCTAGAGTGACGGGCCCAGTCGCAGCTGCGACCCTTGCGGCCCTGGTTGGTACGCCACTGTGGGATATAAGATTAGTTACATTTATCTTGAGTTAAAATTAACATTTGCTTATTCCTTTAGGACTTCCTCCATTATATGCAGACACAATGAGGATCCTATGTATGTTATACTATTTTACATTCATTGTACTTATTACGACATGAAAACTGTCCTTTTTATGGCTGGCCTCTCATGACTTGTCAATTTGGACTTAATTAATACTACACTATAAACGCACAGTTTATTCATGTGCAGCCATCATAAGCCACACAATGCATTAATAAAACTATGTAAGTAGCTTCAAATCAGATACTGATTGTAAACAAATGCTTGCCAATTGTTTAATTTCTAAAGGGAGCTCCATCTGCTTTGGTAAATGACTAATAATATGCACAGCTGCCCATAATTTAATCTCCTGATCCAGGAGATTAATGGTATACGGGCAGTTTTACAAATACATTTCATGGTCCTAATATCCTAATACACAGATTTATTCAGTGTATTTTTATCCTTCCACCTTCCTCAATTTCAGGACAGATTAGACCCCAGAGACAGAGAAGAAACAGAAAGCACTGTTACTGGACACTTGAATGGCCTGGCTTAAAAAGCCTAGATTTCTTCTACATAGTGGTAACAGATATTGGTCCAAATGTGACAGTGTTAATTCACAAATGGAGGATACCACACTCTCACTTAGGAATCCAGGTGCTTATAAGGGTCAGAGTTGGCAAAACCCTGTTTAGTAGATAAAATAAATTAGGTCCAGGCACTCAGGATTGCTGCAGGAAGGCATGTTTATTGTAACAAAAACTGCAACATTTCAGCCTGCACAGAGGCCTTTATCTTGCTTGATAAAATAATAATAATAATAATAATAATAATAAAAGCCTCTGTGCAGGACGACATGTTGCAGTTTTTGTCACAATAAACCTGCTTACTGCAGCAATCCTGAGTGCCTGGACCTAATGTAACAGTGTGGCATAAATTGTGATAATCCATAGTTGGGTATTCATAAATCAGACCCAATGAAAACAGAAACACATCAAGCCCAGCTTCCAGAGGTAAATTTGATCTGATCAATCAGGAAGTTTCTTTGTTAAAGGGCTAACATGCGCAAAACACATCAAACTGCCTTCCTCTCCTCATAATACTCATGGTCTTTACGAATTGTCAATGGAATTATAAAGGTAGTTATATATTTTAATGACTTCATAGGTAGAGGTTCCCTTTTAGTGTCTACTCATATGGTTAAGGGTTAACTTAAAGATCCACTATAGGCACCCAGACCACTTCAGCTCAATGAAGCGGTCTGGGTGCCAGGTTCATCTAGGGTTAACCCTATGTTTATAATAGGGTTAATCCAGCCTCTAGTGGCTATCTCATTGACAGCCGCTAGAGGCACTTCCGCGCTTCTCACTGTGATTTTCACAGTGAGAAGACGCTGCCATCCATAGGAAAGAATTGAGAAATGCTTTCCTATGGACTGATTAAAAGTGTGCGCGGCTCTTCGGCAGATGACATCGGAAGAGGGAGGAGAAGAGGGAAGAGGGAGCCCGGCGCTTGAGAAAGGTAAGAATTTAACCCCTTCCTCCCCCTAGAGCCTGGCAGGAGGGGGACCCTGAGGGTGAGGGGACCCAAAGACCCTATAGTGCCAGGAAAACGAGTTTGTTTTCCTGGCACTATAGTGGTCCTTTAAGTGAATAGTATTTGGAGGGTGTAAACCTTCCTGGAAGGTTTATAACAGCAAAAACTGTTATATCATACATTTAAGCCATGCCAATGATTATACCTTTGATCAATCAGAAACATTAGCAAACACATTTAATGAGATAAATCGATGCAAGGATAATGATTGTGGAAAATTCACATTCATAGAAGACTCGTACAAGTTAGATAAATATATAACTAACAAAGGTATACATCCCATAGTGCAATTTCCTTGCAATAGCAAAATTGGTTTTATCCCGGATTGATACTCACAATTTGGGTAACATGTCTGTGAATTTTTTTAGGCGGTATGCAATGTCATAATGTCATCCAGAGAGGATGCAGTCCATGAGCAAGAAACATGGATAGAGGCAGAATAAAAGTACCCAACATTCCTATCTATTTCCTTGTTTAGAATGACTAAATCATCTTATACAGTTGCAAGAAAAAGTATGTGAACCCTTTGGAATGATATGGATTTCTGCACAAATTGGTCATAAAATGTGATCTGATCATCATCTAAGTCACAACAATAGACAATCACAGTCTGCTTAAACTAATAGCACACAAAGAATGAAATGTTGCCATGTTTTTATTGAACACACCATGTAAATATTCACAGTGCAGGTGGAAAAAGTATGTGAACCCTTGGATTTAATAACTGGTTGAACCTCCTTTGGCAGCAATAACTTCAACCAAACATTTCCTGTAGTTGCAGATCAGACGTGCACAACGGTGAGGAGTAATTCTTGACCATTCCTCTTTACAGAACTGTTTCAGTTCAGCAATATTCTTGGGATGTCTGGTGTGAATCGCTTTCTTGAGGTCATGCCACAGCATCTCAATCGGGTTGAGGTCAGGACTCTGACTGGGCCACTTCAGAAGGCGTATTTTCTTCTGTTTAAGCCATTCTGTTGTTGATTTACTTCTATAATTTGGGTTGCAACACCCATCTTCTGATGAGCTTCAGCTGGTAGACAGGTGGCCTTAAGTTCTCCTGCAAAATGTCTTGATAAACTTGGGAATTCATTTTTCCTTCGATGATAGCAATCCATCCAGGCCCTGATGCAGCAAAGCAGCCCCAAGCCATGAGTTGGGATGAGGTTTTGATGTTGGTGTGCTGTGCCTTTTTTTCGCCACACATAGTGTTGTGTGTTTCTTCCAAACAACTCAACTTTGGTTTCATCTGTCCACAGAATATTTTGCCAGTACTGCTGTGGAACATCCAGGTGCTCTTGTGCAAACTGTAAACGTGCAGCAATGTTTTGTTTGGACAGCAGTGGCTTCCTCTGTGGTATCCTCCCATGAAATCCATTCTTGTTTAGTGTTTTGCGTATTGTAGATTCGCTAACAGGGATGTTAGCATTTGCCAGTGACTTTTGTAAGTCTTTAGCTGACACTCTAGGATTCTTCTTCTTTACTGTCATCTTTACAGGACGGCCACTCCTAGGGAGAGTAGCAGCGGTACTGAACTTTCTCCATTTATAGACAATTTGTCTTACCATGGACTGATGAACAGCAAGGCTTTTGGAGATACTTTTATAACCCTTTCCAGCTTTATGCAAATCAACAATTCTTAATCGTAGGTCTTCTGAGAGCTCTTTTGAGCGAGGCATCATTCACATCAGACAATGCTTCTTGTGAAAAGCAAACCCAGAACTGGTGTGTGTTTTTTATAGGGCATGGCAGCTGTAACCAATACCTCCAATCTCATCTCATTGATTGGACTCCAGTTGGCTGACATCTCACTACAATTAGCTCTTAGAGATGTCATTAGTCTATGGGGTTCACATACTTTTTCCACCTGCACTGTGAATGTTTACATGGTGTGTTCAATAAAAACATGGCAACATTTCATTTTTTGTGTGTTATTAGTTTAAGTATTATCACATTTTATGGCCAATTTGTGCAGAAATCCATATCATTCCAATGTTTTAATATCTTCTCTCTTTTTGCTTGAATTGCCCTTAGACAGAGTGATATTTTTAGATCAACTTATGCTCTGAACAATGTAGAATTGGGTACTAATTATGATAATTTGTTTATAATATAATATGGATTAAACCAGCATCTGCTCTTACCCGTTGGATCTCTCTGAATGATATCCTTCAACAGCTGGTTATCTGTGTGCTTACGTAAGCTAGTAAAAAACAAGACCAAGAGTATTCAATGGAGAAACGATTAGACCAAAGAAGGGCAAAGTAATGGGATCTTAGAAACAATCTCCAAAGAAGGTAGATTTATAGTGAAAAGAGAAATGCTGACTTAAAGTTGATAAAAAGTCTCCAATGTGTTTAGAAGGATGGCGGCATCATACAGCACCTAACTTCTCAGGCACTTTTAGATTATAGCAAATAAAAACACATAACTGGTATTTATCAGGTAGTCATAACCCAAGGATGAGAGAATTCAAAATACTGATAGTTTATTATGACTTCATTTAATGCAACATCGAACTGAAAAATCAAACCACAGTAACAAACATCGACATCATCATCTAACGTGTTTCATCATGTTAATTGACTTAATCATAGACTTGAATGCCATGATTTTTCTCCTGTTATAATTTTTAGAGAGAAACTGTGCCATTTTGGGGCACATGCTAATGGAAATTGAATATATGCTGTTCCATTGCATAATGTAATTAACTTTTGGATTAAACCACTGATTTCATACTTATTTTATACTTAAATATACTTACATTTCCTTCCGAATCCTATAACTCTCTCGACATCCTTCCTGTGATTTTCTCCATTTCTTCCTACTACCATATCTCTTGCTGTTTGGCAACTCTCACTAGTATACTGCATTTCACTATTTTGATATTACTTCAATGTACTTGTGATTATTTTGTACTTCAATTGAATACTTGATTAAGTAAATGCTAAAGCTTTGTGATACTTTGACACATATATATGCCCTCTGCTAATACTACAATAAAACATCAATTTCTTTATGTGCCTGAAATCCAAAAGGTGTAGGATGCAGAGCTATAATTAAAATGGTCTGAGCTGGACTTCCCCATGGCCAAATTTTGCACTACTTGACCAATTTATTTATTTGTTCACGAATTGATTCGGTGAAACAATTTTTTCCGCCATGCATGCCATGGTCTTTCCTTTACTTCTCTTTAAAGAGACCTTTAAAACTCGACATCTACTTACATGTAGATAAATCTTGGATTAAGAGTGTAAGATTTGTATTTTATTTATTCATTCTATCGGGGGAGAGGCTGTACAATCACTACTGCACTTACCCATAGAGAGCAATGGAAGATCTTGCGTATCAATAGAAAACAACGTAAGGTCTTTCTTATCCATGTAAAGCAACCAAAAGTCTAGTTTATCCATGAAGTGCAAAGTAAGGTCTTGCTTATCCATCGAAAACAAGAAAAACTGTTCACTATGTTTATCTTTCATGCTCTGTAGTCTAAGCTATTTTAGAGATACTCTGCACGAGCAGATTTCTTCCAGTCTTTCCAGCTTATTAATTTCCTGATCCCAAAACATATAAAAACTGGAAGATCAGAGACTGTGAAAATACAAGAGAGGTATGATTGTAAGTTTCTAATATGTACCTATTTTATTAAATTATCCTTATGGAAATAAAAGGAAGTAAAACACACTTTAGATCGCCCCATTTATTGTCATATGAAAGCCACGACCATACTGCTCACCATTCTAATCCTATCCCTGAAATTTATTTGCATAATATTAGTTCTGCTCAGTACCTTATTACTTATGCCACCATGCAATTTATTGTGAAAGATTTCTTTGTATATTTAAATACAGTCAGAGTTCTTGTCACTTTGTATTAATTACTAACATAATGGACATGGGTAGAATATGGTAATTATACTATAATTGGACCTTATGCATAATTACTCTCTCACAGAATCCAGACAGAAAGCATCTATTTTACTAACAACATGTGTTTATATACTTCTGTTACAAATATTGGCGCTCTATAAGTAATAATTTAATCTAAAAAATGTTTTTACTTTCGTGGTAGACAGATGGACAGACAGAGACAGACAGACAGACAGAGACACAGACAGTCAGAGACTGACTGACCGATAGAAACAGAGAGACAGAAACAGACAGATAGACAGAGATACAGACAGACAGACAAACATTGACAGACACAGATATATAGATAGACAGACAGACAGATAGATAGATAGATAGATAGATAGATAGATAGATAGATAGATAGATAGATAGA